GGACTGTTCCCTCATTTTTCCCGAGCTGGAGGAGGAGATTCACGAACGAGCCGCAGCCGAAAACGGGAGATTCAGGCTACTCGACGCCGAAGAGCAGACAGTCGTGAGAGGAGAAGTCGCCCCCCCCCCTCCCCTCCTCTTAGCGCGAAAATCCACCTCGGAACAGGCGGGGGATCGCGGAGACGCGCGTGTCCCGTCACGCGAACTTAATAGAAGCGATCTCGCGTCGAGTATGTCCTCCGCGTGCCATATAAATAAATATATTGCCATCGGGACGGACGGCCGATTCCTTTGTTTATCGCGCTATTGTTCATTGATCGGCGTTATTACGCGGCCGCCACGGCCGGCAACGGGGAGGAACAGCGCGGCGAGCGGTCGGTTTTCTAGGATACCTTGCGTTTTGCATAACGTGTCGAGGTCAGGCGGTGTATTTTTAACCCCCCCGACTGCACGGAGAGAGCGCGTGTGCATCGCCGCGCGCGCCGTTACGTTTCGATCTAACGATACACCACGAAGTGCGCACATACACATACAGACACACACACCCACTCGCACTGCGCAGCATGGTACTTCGAACTTCGCAATTTCGTCCTATAATTCATCGTAAGAACAAGGCGACTCCGCTGCCAAGACGCAGACACACGAGCGCACACGAGCGGGTGTCCAACGTTTCGTCTCGCCCCCTCCCCTCTCCCCCTCCTTGCCGACGGGGATTCGGAATGATAACCCGCAGTCGCTTTGGAAAGCGCGCGAAAGGGGGCTCGCGGATCGATAGGCTGCGAGCCGAAGTGCAAATTGCGCCCTTAACGCCGCGGCGCGGGACTTATAAACGGTCGGCAATTACGTCCCGCGTCGTAATAGTTTGTCGTCACGTACCTACGCATAATGGGCCGGCAATCTGGCCGGATCGCTCTCGTTAAGTGGCCTAATCGCAAATTATATTTTAATCGCCGCGCCACGGACAGAGAGAAAGAGAGAGAGAGAGAGAGAGAGAGTGCGCGCGGCTGCGCTACCTCCCCCTCCTCGCCAGGCCGCTCGACTTGGCCCGACTTGGCTCGACTTGACGAGGATATAATTGCACGCTCACGTGCTTCTTGCGCGCGCGAATTGTAGGCGACTGGCCGGCCGGGTGGTGTCAACTGTGCTTTCTCCCTTTCTCTCTCGCGGGCAAAACCGCCGCGACTGGACGGCCGCGGGAGGACGGCCTCGGGAAACCTCGCGATTCGTATCGCGGGAATAATCAATGTAATCCGCCGCCGCCACCGCCGCCGCCGCGCGGCGTTAATGCCACTGCGGTCTCTTCGCGGAAGGCCCGCGCGTTTCGGCGAATCGCCGGAGCCGCCTATCCCGTTAGAGATGCATATTAAACACCGCGGACGTTATCAAAAGCACTGTGCTTTGCTCCACTTTCGCACGCGGCGGTTTACGCGCCGGACGGGCGTAATTTACGCGCGCGCGCGCGCGAGCGAGCGTTAATGGGATTGCTCGGACGTACGAGCGCGCGTTCCGGCGAAGCGAAAGCGAGTCCCGTTTCTCGTCGCCGCGGTACCGGACAGACGCGCGCCAGTCATCAGGGGGGTGGTTTCGGAGGGCTGTGTGGCATTCGTCGTTCTTCCGCAGGAAATTTCGCCGCAGTATCGGGATCCCGACGACTTTACGCGCAAAGATCGCTGGCACCTCCTTTGATCGCTCACAAACAATTTCGTGCTTTGCCGATGCCCGAAATAAGATCGAGACGAATGCCGAAAATCGGCTGCATGTTGACAGAATTGATTTACCAGTTATCGATTTACCAACGAGTAACAGAAGCCTTTAGAGAAGGAGTATGCAAAGGAAAGAAAATAAATCAAATTGAAATAAAAGCCTTCTTCAGAAAGCGAATCTAGCTTCTCGTCGTCGCGGTATAAGACAGACACCCGTTAGTCATCAAGGGGTGGATCAGGGGGTGATTTCGGAGGGCATTCATCGCTCTTCCGCACGAAATTTGGCCGCAGTAACGAGATCCCACGGCGACTTTACGCGCAGAGATCGCTGACACCTTTTTGGATTGCTCACAAGCTTTGCCGAGACGAATGTCAAAAATCAGCTACGTGTTGACAGAATGCCAGTTACTGACGATTTATTAACAGTCTTCTGAGAAAGGAGTGTAAAGGAAACAAAATAAACCAAATTAAAAAATAAAAGCCTTCTTCAGAAATGGAGAAGCGAGATAAAAATTGTGGCCACACACAATTTTCTTCTCTTGTCCCCTTAATGCAAAGCCCTCCCCCCCCGTCGCTCTATCGAGTCCGCTGTAAAAGTTGCACACAGGGTTGCGCATGGAAAGTTAATCAATTCCGCGGCGGATACAGTTCCGCGATATTAGCGGAATAATTACAGATATCCTTCTAATCAACTCTCTCGCCGTGGGCCGGAGCGTAATCGTATGCAACCCCCGCGAATCGGTATTACCGACGTCCGCGTTCATGCTGAGTTGCAGCGAGAAGCAACACTATCGAGCGTACAAATTATATAGCGCCGTCGTTGATTATTATTAGCCGCCATTGTCTACGTTTTAATTGAACGCGCACGGTGGCGCCAGCGATTTTAATACGCTTACCGCGAGAGTTCGGAAAGAATGAAAGCTTCCTGACTCTCCGGCGCTTCTCGTCCAGGATTTAATTACCTGTGACACCATAATAGGATCTGATAGGATCGCGGCTAGCGCGCGCAGCAACACCCGTCGTAGCCGGTCGGACCGGTGTTTAATTTTTCATCGCGTAGGATTTGCATGCGACGTGTGATGTAAAATAGTCACAAAGCCGTAATTACGCAACAAACTGAATTACAATTACAGCGAGCGTGTTGTTCGGACATTTCTCTGCTCGGACCAAGTGTCTCTCATCGATTGGGAATGTGCACGAAGAGTGGATCTTCGGAGCAAAAGTTTACATTCGCCTGTGTGTGTGTGTGTAAAATGCTCCTACTAGTATATTTCAATAAATAAATAAACATTATATATTATTTCAGATGGCTAGTCGCAACGTGACATCGCATCGACGCTGGAGGGAGATAGAAAATGAAAAGCCGTAATGCGCGGACGGATGCGCTCTTCGGATCGGCGAGTCGTTCCGATAAATGCTGACTCAAGACGCGACAGTATCGCGCGATCAAGATTAACCCGTAATTAACTCGGGATCGCGCCGACTCAAGCCTCCGCGCGTGCGCGTCACAATTCAAGCCCATGGAAATTCGCCACTATCTCGAATAACGAGACGAATCGCGCGGAATTATTCGCACAGCTCAGCACACCACAATGGCCCCTTTATCCCGCTCCTCGCGTCTCCGCGCGTACGCTTAGGCGAATCGATCAATTACGCTTACCGGTCCGATGGCACTCGCGAGCGCGGAGACGGAGCGAAAGACAGCTTCTCCGCTCCGCTCTCGTGTCGCTCCTCTTCTTTCTTTCCCGCTTTCTCCTTCTTTCTCTCTCGCATTCTCCACACGCAGGGTGTCCTTTATCTCTTTTTCTCGCCTTTTTTCCTGGTGTGCTTGGCTTCCCCGGACAGAGAGAGAGAGAGAGAGAGAGAGAGAGAGAGAGAAAGAGAGAGAAAGAGAGAGGCCAGTCACCGACATGGTGGCGGCGGCGGCGGCTGCGATCCGGTAAGGTCCGTCCGCATAACGTTTGTTACCATTGCTCGTTTAAATAATCTCGAAACATGCATCCGCGGGGTTGCGGGACGGGTGAGAGAGAGAGAGAGAGAGAGAGAGAGAGAGAGAGAGAAAGGGGGAGGAGAGGGGAGAGAAAAAGAGCAAGAGAACGGGAGAGAGGGAGGGAAAGTGAGAGAGCGAGACTCAGGCCGCGCTCGCGCGGTCACGGATGGCTTTACGATCGGCCCTCGTCGTTAATTAAGAGCTTGTAATTATTTAGTGGTGGACGCTAGCGCACCCCCGCCGGCATCGGCGCGGTCTGGGCTGCCTTCGCCGGAGACTTGATTTACATTCCTGCGAAGAATGCGTCGGCCTCGCCTTCCTCTCTCCCCCCTCCCTCCCTCCCTCCCTTCCTCCCTTCCTCTCTCTCTTTCTCTCTTTCTTTCTTTCTTTCTCCTCCCCTTCGCTCTATTTTCTTTTTCCACTCGGAACACACCCCCGCGTCTTCCTCGCCGCGCACCTACCCTCGCCGCCTCCTTCGTTCTCCTGCGCGAGACTCGCCTCTCCGTCGGTCGCTCTCCTTTGCACGATTCATCTTCGTTTTTTCTCAGCTGGCCTGCCCTGAGAGAACCTTGCCGTCGCTTCTCTGATTTCGCAAACACGTGAGAGGCGAGCTGACCGTCGTACGACGTTGACGTGATTTTCTGAGGGATCGATGAACCTTCCGAGCCGCCGAAGCGAGGGACTAGCGCGAGCAGCGCGACTCTGCATCGACCGAAGGACGAGTTTGCTGAAGGAAAGAGCTAATCGCCATTTCGAAGAGTTCTTTATACTCTGGAAGCTCCTCTTTTCCTTCTCTATTTATGGCAATCCTTCCGAATTGTGTACCGAGCGGCCTGATGTTCCGCTCGCGGAAGATTCTTCCGTGTTTTCGTTTCCTTATTTATACTCACGAGGAATATTTACAGCAGCCTTTTTAATCACGCATAAAATATGTCAATCGATTTAGGAAGCATGTACGTACACGTCGGCAGAGACGCGCACTTACAAGTAAGGATAGCGGGGTGCCGATGCGCTAACTAGTGACAGATGATGTATGAGCTTCGCGAGATGCGTGTATCAATCGATTTATGAGCAACCGCTGCGCGCCCAAGTTTTCCATATTTTCTCGTCGCAAAGTATACTGATCGAGTGAGCGCATCGTGTTTATTATAAATCAGCTCTGCTCTCTGTCGGCGATCTTTCGATACGATCGCGAGGCAAGTTCCGCAACAGTCGCGGAGGCTGAATGTACGAGGTTTGATAAAAAAGTAAGGAGAATTTTTAACTTTCTCGGAAAGTATTTCTTTAATCTTCAATGTTTATCCCATCTCCTTCAAAGTAGCGCCCCTGTGATATTATACACTTATGCCAACGCAGTTTCCAGTTTGAGAAACACTGGTGAAACGCCTCTTTAGGTATCGTCTTGAGCTGGATCTGCGATTTATCTCGCCTTTATCTCATCGATTGTTGAAAAACGTTGTCCTTTGAGTGTCCTTTTGAGTTTGGGAAATCGGAAAAAGTCACAGGGGGCCATGTCTGGAGAATAAGGTGGTTGCGGCATCACAACGGTGTTGCGTTTCGCCAAGAACTGTTGGATAAATCGTTTAATGTTCGAAACATTAGTAAAAATCGCTTCGCATGAGCCGTATGAAATTCCTATTTCTTCAGCAACCTCTCTAATGGTGATTCTTCTATTAGCAAGCACAATCTCTTTAACTTTTTTCACGTTTTCATCACTGGTGGACGCGCTAGGACGCCCAGACCTCGCGTCATCTTCGATGTCTTCTCGGCCTTCCTGAAAGAGTTTGTACCATTCATAAACTCGTGATTGTGACGTAATATCGTCGCCAAAGAGCTTCTTTAACATTTTGAACGCTTCGCTGCTTAATTCCGTTTTTAACACAAAATTTCAGACACAGTCTCTGATCCGACATTTCGCCACACAAAAAATCGCCAAACACACTGAAGTACGTCTTGCTCATTCGCTCGCCAAACACAAACTAAGCGTCGCAGCTGCCTGAAAATTGACGTCACGTACGTCACTGGTAGTGCTACCAACACACAAACAAAAATCAATTGAATAGACAAGATACAGCGCGTGCAATTTTAAAATTCTCGTTATTTATTTCTCTTTTTTATTCTCTTTTTTATCAAGCTAGAAGAGTAGAAATTACTTTTTTTTACACACGTTTTCCAGTCCCCAGTAATGTGGAAAATGATGGATCCGATAATCGCTCGTGAAGTTTAATCACGGCTGTCGCACGCTGAGCTCTTCACCTGAGCGTCACCAGAGCGTGGTATTAATTTATAGAAGGAATGTCGTCGCGCGACAAATACCGTATCCTTGATCGCCGAGGTGTCGTTTACACTTATTGACGACAAACAGCCACGCGCAGGCTGAGCGGATTTTCCGGGAATCCTCTTCCCGTCCGCCGATCCCCGCAAAACGATGTGACGAACGGAAGGACTAAATATGAGCATTCACGCGACATTTCTCTACCCCTGAATTACCTCGGCGACAAAATCTCGACGTAGTTAGCGGACGCATCATGCACACACGTGCGTAAGCGTAAAAAATGCTTGGCACAGGACGAACGGGCAGAGAGTCACCGTTTATATTTGATTTCTCGTTAGATTCTCACGACGTTCTCTCTCGGCTACATGTTTCCGACGATGTAATCGCCCTGAAGTACTGTGTTATTGCACACGTGTCCGTGGTACAAGACGATCCGAAACAAAAAAAAATAGTGAGACGATTGCGATCGTAAGCGAGAATTTAGCCCGATGAACGATGGCGTCGAGCACGTAAAATAATATGAGAAAGGCCCGAATTCGCGGATTTCGCGGATTTAACTTGAAAGACAGAAAGAAAGATAGAGAAAGACGTAAAGAGATAGAGAAAAGCAGGGAGAGACAAAGAAAACCAGGAAGACACAGGGAGAGACAGGGAGAGACAGCGAGAGACAGGGAGAAATAAGGAAAGATAGAAAGAGTCAGGGAGAGACAGGAAGAGACAGCGACAGACAGGGAGAGACAGGGAATGATAAGGAGAGACAGGGAGAGACAGCGAGAGACAGGGAGAAATAAGGAAAGATAGAAAGAGTCAGGGAGAGACAGGAAGAGACAGCGACAGACAGGGAGAGACAGGGAATGATAAGGAGAGACAGGAAGAGACGAGAAGAGACAGGGAGAGACAAGGAGAGATAGGGAGAGGCAGGGAGATACAGGGGAGATAGGGAGAGACAGGGAGAGACAGGGGGAAAGGACGTCACACAGAGGCCTCGAGTTATCGATCGTACGCGCCGTATCCTTGCGCCGTGACAAACGAGCGGTCGTGTCACGAGGAGGGCCGAGCTCGCTCGCTCGCTCGTCGAACTTGAAAATCGTTCTCGCGATATTTCAGTGTCAGCGGAGGCAGGTACCGAGGGCATCGGGGGTGCCCGGGGCCGGTGGTACGTCCGGGCACCGCGCGCGACGACGCACGACGAATAAATCCGGCCGGACACCGGGCGAGACCCGGATGGAAACACGATTCGGCCGCGCGATCAAAGGACCCGCTACAAATTGAAACAAATCAGCCAGGTAATAATAATTAATCCGCGCCGCGCATTAATAATCGCGCACGTTCTCCCTCCCCCCTCTCCCTCTCCCTCTCCCCCCCCTCTCTCTCTCTCTCTCTCTCCCTCTCTCTGTCTGTCTCTCTCTCTCTCTTCCATCTTCTCGCGGTTCGACCTGGCCCGGCCCGGTTCTCCCCGCAACTCGCGATCGTATCGTTGCGTTTAGTGCCTTGACGCAAGTACGTGCTGATACAGGATCGGTCACGGAATTCGTGTACCGGGAGACAGCTGAAGGTTCACCCGAACAGGTTGAATCTTAACAGGTTGCGCGCCGAGGTGGTTACCGGCGAGACTCCGCGCTGTCCTCGAATATTTTTTTCGTTCGCGTTTGAGGCGCGAAACCTGGCTTCAAGTCGAGCGACGCGATTAAACGGAAAATTGCGTCACCTGTTATGCTTCCAACATCCGGTGTTAGACTCGATCAGCAAGCCCGACATTGACACGTTCTCTCTCTTTTTCTCCGTTTCTTTCTTCCCGAGTACCGAGAACGCGAAATTACAGGTGCAACGAGGAATATTGGCGACAAGAGATTTCGCCTTTCATGTAGCCGACAGATGTAATAAATTGTACTGCCAAATAACTGGGGAGAGACCGGTGATCGCGCTAAATTAACGATCAATCGAATCCCCCCAAATCTCCTTTTTCATTAATCTATTCAAACACACACAACGTCACCGTGATCCTCCTTCCGACCGCATGCGCTCCGAGGACGATTTTGCTCGAAGGCGGCCCTGCTTCGCGATCACCGCATGAAGATGCACCGCATATACGTGCAATCGAACCTCAGCACTCACGTACTTGCTCAGGCACACACACACACACACACACACACACACACACACACATCGAAGCGCAATACCGTAACGTGGTGGAATAACGCGGCCCTGAAGTTGAGCTCTCAATTACTTCGGAGAGTTATGAAGCTTCGGCGTTTGCCCAACTCGCCCTCTCCCACCCACTCCTTCGCTCCTTGCCTCCTCAGGTCTTCCGTTCTTTGTTAATCCCTCTATATTATTCCGGGGCCGAGAAAAGGGATGAAAGGCGAGAGCGCTGCGGGGCAGCCCGATTGTGTCTTCATTAGCGACTATTAATTGTCAAAATGTGCCACATAATTCAGTTCGCGCTCGTTCTCGCTCGACTCGCGCGCGCGCGCGAGCGAGCCCGCCGTATATATTTAAGGTTAACGCGCTCAATTGATTCTCTCGGGCGCAGGGGAGGTGGTGGTGGAGGAGTGCGGTGAGACGAGGTGGGGGGGGGCGGAGGGCCCCGGGGGCCTAACCCCACGGTGAATCATCCGTGATATCTACGGGGAACGTTGCGGCCGACCGGCCGGCCGGCGCGGCGCCGAGACGTTCAGAGGGAACGCGCGCTCGCTTGCTCGCGCGGCTCGTCGGACGCGGGTAATTGCTAATGGGTAATTAATTCCCGGATAAAGACGGGGCGACTCGGCTCTTGACCCTACGACGCAGGTACGCTACGATTCTCACGGGAGACGGCTGGAAAACGACCGCGGGGACAAGCGAAGTACCGAGTCTCCGCTTCATTCGCAACGAACGTTGCGTCGGGAAGCGAGGGGGAGCGAAATTCGCGAGTTGTAATTTTTCAGCGAGGAAACGGACACGAGGGCGGGCTTGAGGCGGTCGTGAGGCAGGTGATGATCGCGCAAAATATTTTGTTCCGTGATACGGGAAATACACTTGATATTCAGGAAAGTATTTCTTCAGCGCTTTCGAGCATCGCTCGGTGTCATCGCTTGCGCGCTATTAATAGCGTTCATTAATCATACATTTTCATCGTTCTTACTTCGCAACGAACGTTGCGTCGGGAAGCGAGGGGGGAGCGAGATTCGCGAGTTGTAATTTTTCAGCGAGGAAACGGGCACGAAGAGCGGGCTTGAGGCGGTCGTGAGGGAGGTGATGATCGCGCAAAATGTTCTGTTTCGTGATACGGATGATATTCAGGGAAGTATTTCTTCAGCACTTTCGAGCATCGCTCGGTGTCATCGCTTGCGCGCTATTAATAGCGCTCATTAATCATACATTTTCATCGTCCTTATTGATAATCATCTAGCTTGGGATTACTACGACAAGTCCGCGCCGTATCGATGCCGAGTTGTTTGCCAATGACGCCGGCACGGCGTTCCAAATATTAAGCACGATAATGTAAATGACGTGACGATTTACCGGCGTCCACGGACAAGCGAGATTTACGAGAGCGCGACTGTTCGACTCGCGGAACACGCGTCAGAGGGTAATGTATGTATTGCCGTCGACGTCGCGTTCCACGTAAAACTTTTTGTCGACGCTCCGCTGCCTTTCCATCGCCCGCTTTCATCCTCATATCATCACGGAAGCGTCTCCCGATCCGCCGTGAGATACGCGCAAAAGTACGAGCATGTTCCCTTTCGCAGTCACGTAAGTCGCGATCTTTTAATAGCACAGACGCTAACGAGAATTGCGGAGACGCAACGATTTCCCGCGGGGTCGGCGAGTATTTAATCGCCGAGTTCATTGTCGAGTATTACCGATGTTACGTTCCCCTTACGTTTCCCGCATGTCCGTGGCATTCTTGAAACACTCGACGGCCGCGGAACCAAGATCTCTCTTTCGCGCTTACCGATCGATGCCCAGAATTGTTCTCCTCACTGCTAGAACGCTTGCTGGAATAATTCAGTGCATCAATTTCATATTATCTTAACTGAAAACTACTTTCTCATGTACACATACACGCGTCGGCAAGCCGCGAAATAATTCATTACACCGCGTGTGTGATAAACGCGTCGTGTGCGCGCGTTTGAGTTCTAAATTACAGGGACGACGTTTCACGCGCCTAACGACGATTAATACGCGATCGTCGTCGCAGATACACGTAAACGAGGTAATGGCAACGCGAGACATCCTTCGCGTCTTCGTCGTCTCCTCGCGCGGCTCCTCGCAAAGGCGTTATCGCCGGGCGAGAAAAAGAGACGTGGGACTCGCCGTGGCGAATGGCGAAATCGTAAAGGGGGGGTTTAACGGGCGCGCCCGACACTGTTATTATTTCTTGCCAATTGTGTGTCTTCGCCGCGGCTCTAACCACCGTGCGGCGTCATTAGGATCCCCTGATGGATTTCATCTTGTACGTGGCTGCGAGTATTTATGCAAATCGCGCGCGCCGCCGCCGGGCACGAGCGGGCCGATCCGTCACTACTTTATATCGCTCTATCATTATTATATGTATTCAATAACGCACCTAACACACACACACACACACACACACAGCGTTCTACTTCACTCTGCACGAGTGAAGGCACTCAAACTCGAGTGACTCGGTGATCACTCTAGTTCCCGAGTGAAATATCTCGCCCCGGAGAATTTCAAGAACTGCGTTGCATAACGCCCGTCATCTCGGAGCAATTAATTTCCGCGCGAGACGAGCGATCTGACTTTACATTGAAAGCGAGACTACACCTCGCGACCTATGAGCCCCAAGCAAGAGAAACAATGCAATCCACCTTCAGTATCACTAACCTTCTCGAACAAATTATTAAGGCCACCTTCATGAAGTATAAGGCC